TTAAGCTATTCTTCCTTCTTTTGAAGGATTTGTAAGAATATCCTGACCTGTGTGGAATCTTACTCCGCGAGGCTTGTGCATTTTCAAAAGGAAAATGATGATCTGGAGTCAATTCAGATAGGTTCCAAGTTGGACAAATGTTACGTAGCATTGTCAGGACATAGCTAAAATGGAAAATTTTGCAAACCACCTCAATTACTAGTTACACACTGACAGGGTTATTCAGTAAAAACTTTACAAATATCAAGAGCAACAACAAGTCCTCAGTACCTAAATTTGATAGAAGGATGTAATGTAATCTCAACAGAATGGATTGCACACCATATTCCTTTGCCAAGCTGAAAAATAAACATAATGTTGTAAATTGCCATTGGAGCAGGTGACTTCAATGGCAGAGACTAGTTGATGTATCACACTGCACACAAAGAAAGCGTTTGAACAATATATTTCATTGAACCAGGGGTGGAATTCACTTACTTTCGCTACCGGTTCGCAAATGTGAGCGCGAGTGTATGCGCACTTGCGCATGCGCAGAGGGTCAAAAATGGGACGTGATGATGTCCGGGTGGGTGGGCGGAGTCTCCTGCCGCCAGTGCTACCGGATCACACGATCCGAATAGAACCGGCTGAATTTCACCATTGCATTGAATCCACATCTACAGAAAACATGATCACTTCTCTACATCAACACTAAACCCGCAGATTTCTGAATATAATTTCGTAACACATTGATGTGGCAACATTAAAAATATCAGAGATACGAATCTTACGGAAAAGGGAGAACTGAATTTGTCTCTGAATTCAGTGCGACTGTTACCGCTACTCCACTTAATATCAGGCAAACTATAAAACTGAGCATCTTGTTTGCTTTGGAATTATCTCACAGTATGAAATGAATGGGTAAAGGCCGCCATCTAGTGGCCCAACCTCTACTCTGCAGGTGGCTCATTATCCACCAATTAATGTCTTTCAAGTTGGTATTCTGTATCCTTAGCAGAATTTTTTTGGAAAATTTTGGGAACCTCCTATTTTGGTTGGTTTTCTGAAAGTAAACTGCAATAGTTCCGATAGCACATAATTTCTTCTATGGTTAATTAGTAAAGCAACAGCTTTCCCCACCTCCTAAACCCCACTAATAATAGTTGGTATCACTCTGTATATTAAAATGAAATTTGCATCAAGATCAGATTATAAAAATACCTCATGAATTCAATGAGCAGTTTACTCCCCTTATTTTACCAAGCTAACCTTAAGGGGAAAATGTTATTCAAAATTACCAGCTGGTTTGGAAGAGTCAGAAGTTGAAGGGCCTACTCCAGCAGCTGGTAAGAAGCTTCAGGATTAGGTTAGCAATCAAGAGGCCGACGACACCAATCATCTGGAGCACAGTGAGAAGAATCAGCTGAAAAATCACCCAACACTAGGATACATTGGGGAGCTCCACCTGTGATCAGCCTCTGTTGGAACTCCTGCCAGCAACAAGCATCTTCACTGAGAATAAAAGTGTCATCCTTGACTCCATGTTGCTTTATTTGTGGTTCCTGCGTGTCTTCTGAGCCTCTTCTTCAGTCCTGAACTGACTGACCTCCTTGGTGATAGGACTTCTAGATTATTGCTGCCTTTGCCTTCCCTTCCCTCTCCTGAAAGAAATTGCAGTAGTGCGTGCATTTTGTATCAACTAGAAGTTGAAAAGAATGGAATTGTAGGAAAGAACTGACTGAATGATTGCTGAGGCAAAGAGGCACTTGGCCAGATGCTGAAGATTATTAGGCTGATAGATCTCAAGAATGGTAAGATCATAGAGAACAAGGGTGATAACCTTGATGGATTTATGCAAGCTCTGTTACCAAAGCAACAAGGGGTGAAACTTACCTTAAATCCATAGCTTGTAAGGAGAGATGTGGATAAAAGAGATGATGTCTCATTTACGATTAGGAGATGGGGATTCTGGATGAAGTCTGAAGAAGAAATAGGGAAATATGGCAAGAGGCAGAAGAAGATGGGCTGCTCTTGGGGAATAGGGATTGAGACCAATTTTCACTTTTGATCCACTGCACTCATCCCAAGAAGCAGCTCATCAGGTATTTGGATGCCTGGGTTTACAAATGCCAGGTCTGCTTGTTATTCATACCTCTCTTCATCCTTTATCAACAATAGATAAGGCAAAACTAATAAAAGTGGGTGGATGGATGGATGGAGGGAAAGATGTTTCTATGGAGATTGTCAGTCATCCAGGTCATGGTTGCCCCAAAGATGCTTTTTCAAGAGACAACTCGACTTCTGTGTTTTTCTTCGAAGACGTTTCGTTTCTCATCCAAGAAGCTTCTTCAGCTCTGACTGGATGGTGGTCAGAGCTGAAGAAACTTCTTGAATGAGAAGCAAAATACCTTCAAAGAAAAACACGAAAGTCCAGTTGCTTCTTGGAAAAACACCTTAGAGAAAGATGTTTCCTTCTCCCATCCGGGTTCCAGATTTGGCACCATCCATAAACAGAAGGCAGAGGAAAAAATGCCAGTTGGGTGGCAACCAGAAGCATTCATCTATGGGTAAGTGGGTACAGGATTCGTTTCTGAAGTTGGGGTCTAGCCAGGACTGCAGCTTTTGTACTGTTCCCCCACTGCACAGCAATGTCTCCTCTTAAATTCCTGGATTTTACCTTTTGTTGCTAGAGTTCCCCAGTCTTACAACTGTTGATTTCAATTTACCTTCCCTAGAGATGGGTTCAGAGGCAATTTAGATGTTCATAGCCAATGCATAGGTTTGTTAGATTATTAAAGGACTAATGCATTAAACCTGAGGTTTGTTTCAAATATACCATGTGATGTGAGGATGAAGGATATTAATGTCTGTCCTCTGTCTGGCCAAATCATTATCTCTGACTGCTATGGAGCTGATTAATGCCTCCTCTCTCCAGAGTGGGGAGGATTTTAGTCAATTGGTTTACCTCAGTGCTGAACCATCTGCTTGGTTTGAAGAGGATGTATATTTTTTCCCATCTGAAATAGCAGATGTGTCCAAACATTGTTAACTTGCTGGAATCAAGAGGCACCTGTGACTTTGGATAAAATTGTTGCTGTAGAGAAAATAGGAGGAAACTGGTGCTACCTTGAGTTTTTTTGTAAAAATAATAAAGGTGGAATACAAATTAAGTGATGTAGGTGGAAGACAAAGGCGAGTCTGTATAAAAACAGGTTATGACCGCAAGTTCAGGTCTACATCAAAGTCATTAGAACAGCAAAATTGTCACCCAGCAGCCGTTTTCAAAGTGACCCAGAACCTCTGAGGGAGGAAGAATATATGAATTATATATAGAAGGCTGGTGTGAAGAATTTGCAATGCATCCTAAAATAAAATAATTCAGATTCACTGAAAGGTTGACACTATCTGGGCAGGCCTTATCATCTCTCAGGCTTATCTGGGATGAATTTGAATGTTAATCCTAATGAAGTAGAGAAGAACCTTTCTGCCACTTATGGATTAAATTTCTGCCTCTCCTGGCTCCAGGGAAGGGACAGGTAGCTGGGACAGAATAATAATAAAGGTGAACACCTGAAAAAGATGTTGGTGCACCCCCTGCTCAAAAAATAACAAAAAGTTATTGACCCAGGTATATTAGATAAATAAAGGCCTTTTCCAATGTCTCCTTTAAAGGGAAGGTTGCAGTTAAGAGGATCCTGGAGAAGCTAGACCAGGGCTGTCAAACTCCCAGCCCATGGGCCAGATGCGTCACGCGCTGGCCATGCCCAAGCGAAGGGGAGGGGAAAGCCGCGATATGTTGTGATGCCGCCCTGATGATGCGAGTTTGACATCCCTGAGCTAGATTATCTACATATACTTGAAACTGCATTCAGGTATGATAATGGCACTGAGAATATTTAATAACTCCTTTTTATTAGTTTATAATATACAATACAAAAACAAATAGGGAGAGTAGGGGAGGAAAAAGGGAAAAGTGTAGAAAAGAAGGGAAAAAAGAAAAGGCATTGACTTCCGACTCCCTTTGGTGCAGTAGAATAAAATAGTCAAACCTCAACTTTTTACTTTTACATAATAGTATAAACTAGCCATTTCTATAATGACAGATCTACCGTATCTAATCAGTAAAACCTAAAATCATAGGTTTCATTTTTTTCCACATCAAGCACAATGTCCAGATGCGGTTTCCTGGTACAAACAAAAGTAGTTGTGTTTTTTTCTTTTATCAAAGTAGTCAGTTTAGCCATCTCTGCTAACTCCATCAGCTTTTGTAACCATTCATCCATTGTAGGGATTGAAGCATCCTTCCATTTTTGTGCATAAAATAATCTTATTGCCGTCAACATATATAACATCAAAGTTCCAATTTTCCCCCAAGTCTTTTTTCCATGAAACTCAAAAGAAACGTTTCTGGTTTTAGCTTTACATTTACTTTTAAGAATCTTCTGTATTAGAATGTGAATCCTACTCTAATATTTAGATTAATCCTGTGACTATGATAGTAGTAACTCAGCCCTTCTGGTCTTTTGATTGATGGTATATTTCTTTCCAGCCATTGGGGTGAGAGAGGTTTCTGTGTTGCAGTGGTTCTCCTTCTTCCAGTTACTGGGGTTGGTGGGGAGAGATCAAGTCCTAAGGCCCTCTTAAGTGCCCTACTCAAGAGCAGATCTGCACTACTTGCTGGCATTTAGGACAGTTGCTAAGACTTAGTTGTTCTGGAAAGCCTTGGGGAGGCTACTAAAATGATCCCTGCAATAAATAATAGGCTGTTACACACTCCTCAGGGTAAGGATGAAGAGGAGTAGTAGTCAGATTTATATTGCCAATAAAGTTAACTTTGAAAGGATGCTGAGCTTCTGAATCAACTTTCATGCAGAGACTTTCAGGACAAATACACGTAACAATGCAAATTAATATTCCAATGAAATGAATTAGGTGTCCAGTGAATTATATATAGAATTGCAGTTGAAATGCAGCACTATGGAAAAATATATAAAAGCTGCTCCCCTGATTTGAAAAATCAATTATTTCAATGAAAACATTTATTGTACAAGTAATTTACAGTGGGTTTTGTACATAATTTGAGAAACTGTAAAGCAGTTTATATAAAATGAAAATGGTACACATTATTTACATATTATATACAAATGTCTTATCTTTTCCCTCCAATCTAAATTAATTAATAAAACATGCAGTATAATGCATTAAGTAACATAGAGCTTAATAAGCACATTAACTTTGCTCAATATAGAGCATAAATATTCCCACTGACCACAGGACTCTTGAATAATCAAGTCAGTTTATATAGAAAAATTATCTTGTTCATAGTTGCATGTTTGCATTGGCAACTGCAATATTTAAACTTTTAATACTACTCTTTCCACTGAAATGGATCAAATACCTTTTAAGCAAAGGTGAAAACCCCCCAACAAAACTGGGTTGAAAAAACAAACTAAAATATTTCTAAATAGTACACACTACCTTTTATTATCCACTTTATAGCATTAACAGAAGAAGCAAAAGAGATTAATTTAACTTCATTAATTCTTTTAGCTGGAACAGATAATGGAAACACCTTACATTAAAGTATTAGTAACGGACAATCTCCATTTAAAGCTTTTTGTACACAACTTCTTCACATTAAAAAACAAAAATCACTTTCCTGAAGGAAAATGCATATTGCATCAGTGCATAAGATACAGTGTAACTTAACACATACACACACACACACACAAAATGGAAAGGACTTCGCTTTATACTTGGTCTTTGTGTATAAAAAACGATGAACTGTTCCTAAACAGATATCCTGCAGTCATAATGTTGATTATCTGATATATTAAAATTGAACTCGCAATCTACCTCTGTACCAAAGATATTCCTCACTGATGAAGAACATTTAAAACAAGAATACATCTAACAGATAGTGGGGTTTGGGATTGGATTATCAGGTCCTTTGTCGAGATTTGTTCTTTGAACACAATATGATTGTGCTACAGAGTCATTGGATCACTGACAGTTAAGAAAAGAACATTTTTACATAATACACAAATTTAGGCCACAAGACAATTTACAAATAATTTCAGAAGCATTGATTAGGAGATAGTGGGCATGGTTCTATCCAGTCTCCCTTAATAGGGCTTTTAGGACTTTCGGAGAGAGTTGCTGCCACTGCAACTATCCTGGTTTAGGGGTGGGGAATTTGTGATGGGTGGGGGTGTGTTTGGGGATTGTTATGTGTGTTGGACCTGGTCTTTGGATGTTAAGTGAATTTTGTTGTATGATTATATTGTGTATATACGTACAGTGACAATAAAGTTATTATTATTATCCTCCCACTCTCTACTATCCCTAACCCTACCTTTCCATGTTTGAGAGGATTGCCCAGGTTTCTGCATGGAACCACTCTCTTTGGCTGATACTTGAGCGGGGGGGGGGGGATTCCCTTAAACACATATGGATCTGATCTAATCTGTGTAATAATGAATGGGTTCTAAACTTTTGTAAAGAAAGGAAATGTAACTTAAACTATTTTTTCCCCTTCTGTTCAATTGTGTCTGATTCTTGGAGACTGCCTGGACATGTCCTTGCAGTTTTCCAGAGGTGGTTTGCCATTGCCTCTTTTCTAGCGCTGAGTGTCTAGCTCTAGCCCAAGGCCATCTGGCTGGCTTTGTGCTCAAGGCAGGACCAGAATTCAGTCTCCCAGTTTTTAGCCTGATACCTTCAACACTACACCAAACTGGTTCTCTATCATAAGTTATAATCACGATTAAATAGATCACTCTGAGGGCTAGATCTATCAATGCCCTGAACTATGCTCATACTATCTTGATACTGTCCTATTTTACCATCACATTCTCTATTCAATTATATGAATCATTTTTAATTTCATTCCAGTTTTTACATCTCTCCACAAAGTTCTCATGATGCTCACCAAGTCTAGACATGTAGTGAAAACGACCAGTGGAATTTGGTTAATGAAGGCAATGAGGACTCCCAGGATTGCTGTTGTTAAATGATGAAATGACATCGTGTTGTGCTTTATGACTCCATCACTGTTGTAACTCAAGGACTATCTGTATTGTGTATTGTACTGTATTCTGTATGTTGTTGCTTTGTTTTTATGTTATGAATTACCTGGAGTCAATTGGCTCTGGACAGCACCCAAGTTGAATGAATGAATGTATGTATGATTTATTTGTTTCCTAATAAAATTTATATAGCTTCCCATTTCACACACAACTCTGGGCAACATACACAATAAAAACCATTAAATATAAACAATGGGAGACCATATTCAAGAACTTACAAACAATGTAGCCATTTTGCAGGACTCCTATTTCCCTGGGATCCCCAAGTCTGCTGACAAAAACAGGTTTCAAGGGATTTCTGGAAGGTCAATAGAACTGAAGCTTCAGAGGAAATGATGTTCCAAAGGCTTGGTCCCACAGCGGAGAAGCTTGATCCCTAGGTCCTGCTGCCCTTGATGGGACAGGTATACAGAACCCAGCCATATGCCATATAGGGTTTTAATCTTGAGTTGAACCCGGAAACAGATTGGCAGCTAATGCAGACAAGAAATGTAATGTGTAGCATTCTAGGAGCAGACATAACTGCCACACCATTGTATTTTGTACAAGCTGAAGCTTTCAGATACTGTTCCTGGAGGTGACCATGCCATGAGTAACTGACAGTGGAACCTCCTGATCAAGGAACTGCTGCAACTAGCACACAATACAAAGTTGCACAAAGGGTCTCTTAGCCATGACTGCCACATGCTCTTTGGGCAGGAATTGTGAATCCAGGAGGACCCTGACATTGTGCCCGGGGTCTGTCTGAGGCAGTGCCCCAAAGATGGTAAATCTCCAGATTTGGAAAACCCCAAGACTCAAAACTGGTCAGTATTGCCAGAGTTCAGTTAATGTCTGTTGTTCCCCATCCAGACCCACGATCTCCAAGCATCAAGACAGAACATCAACAGCAATGCTTAGTACATTGCTTAGGGTGGAGATATACAACTGAGTACGTATTACGGCAACAGATTATCTCACCCAACCACTTTATGTAGAGTTAAATAGGACTGGAGAGAGTACCCTATATAATAGGGGTTGAGGACTATCATTCCCATGCAATACCAACAGGAATCTTCCAGGTTACAATTCAGATCACAGATTTTCTTCATACTATCATACACTATAAAGAACTTGCAGTTGGCTAGAGAATCTTCCATTATTTGTGCTTTAAGAAACTGTACAAGCAGTTATGTAAACATAAAGGTGGCAGAAATTATAGTGCACAAACAACAACTTCTGAAGCTATTAAGATAATCTGTGTCTCTCAAAAACAAGTTACAAGGTTTTCTTATCTTTTCCAGGAGTACATTGTATGAATGTGCAAATAAACAAAATGGAAAATGTACCTACACTTATACAAAGAAAGGAATGTTTCTGAGAAATAAATTAATATTTCTGTAATGACTAACCGTGTAATCTAGAACATCTTCAAAACAGATTTTTTTTTAAAAAAATCTAAAAACATCTAGGCAAACTCTAATGTTGTAGCCTTCTCATGGATAATTTTCTGGTTTTGACTTTCAATTTTTTAACTGAAGATCTTAAACTTTAAATGGCATTAATCAAAAGCAAAATATCACTCATCTGGCCAGACATTTGTGTAAGCACTGAGGCCCTGCTCTCATTTACTGTAATTCTATGAGGTACTAATTTGAATTGTATGTGAGAGGGAAATTTGCTGGATCTTCAATGGTTTCTACAATTTTAATCTCCAAATTTTATAATAAAAGGAGAAACAGCTCCTTCCCATATGTTAATCCTATTCTTTTCAGTTAATTCTTAATGAAAAAGAAAAACATTTTCGCCAGACCCCCTACAAAAACACATTTTTTAAAAAATACTGAGCAACTTTTATTTTCTATGACTGTATTTGCATCTGAAGTTCATAGTTCAATTCATAGCTGAATTGTCATCTCTAATACTGTTTTCTTACTCCAAAGCAGCCACAAATTGTGTTGTTAAAATTCAGGAGCAATTGCTAACTTTCCTTCTTTTCCCAAAAGTAGAAACGAAATTTGTATTAAGGTTTTGTGGGCTTTAACACAATTGTTTTGCTCTTTAAAAACTCCTCTCCCACATGTCTCTAACAAAATCATAAATTAAATCCAGCTATGGATTCATGAAATCTATATAATCCTTACCCTTGCAACACAAGTTGAAAGTAAAAGCGAGGCTTGGAGGCACATTACTTTACCAGAAAATGGAGATAAAAAAACCTTTACGGAAGTAAACAAGCTTGGTCCCTCTGGATATTTTATGCAATGATGCAAGATTCTGATAACATATACAAAATTAATGTCTTAAAATGTTAATTTTAAACCATTTGTGGGGAGGGAAAACAGACATGGAGTCACCTAAATGGATAACAAAATTCAACCATAACTAATTTTAAAAATCCGTTTAATTATACCAAAAGCTGATTGCTTGGTTTTACTATAGTACAACAAAAATATGCAAGCTTCAAGTAGAAATAAGTTTATCATACTGGAACAAAATATAGCAAAGTGCAAACTAAAGAGGAAACACTGCTGCTTTCCTCAAATTACTCAAGAAAAATATATTTAAAATGCTATATTACAAATAAATACAACAAAGACTGAATCACCTCTTTGGTCCATATGTTTATAAAACAAACCAACTTAACCTGTTAATCTAAGGAATATTAAAGAGAATATCTAGAATGCCATTAGATACTATTTCTTTAAACTTAAGCTATGTTATTTACTTTAAAAAAGGAAGGCCTGGAAGAGTTTTATTTTGAATTCTATGAATTTTTCAATTGTTCTCCAATTGTTGTTAATAACTCTGTTCATGTTCAAATACTGGTACTGCTGAAAAGTTACACTGCATTTTTTTCTTAAGAATGCTTGGTCCAAGTTGAAACAATTGTCCAAAGACATTTTTGGAGAACATCAAAGATAGTTCTTTGACTTATTTTAGCAGCTGGAAATATTATAATACCACTCATACAAAAAACATTTCACCCTGAACTACAGCACTCTAAAATAAACTTACATGAATTCATACACACTCAACCTTTTTAGAAGATAATTTGTCCTAGTATATAAGCATTTTCCTTATATATTATTTTCAAGACTGAATATAAAAGAATATTGCTATAAAACACACTTCCTTGGTTACTTCATTCCTGTTTTTAATATATAAATCCATTTTTAAAAGCAATAAATAACTATCACTGCAGTCACTTTAAAATACAAGTTTGATGTATTCTGTTCAAAGGCATGGGAGGCCAGAGATGTCTTCACTAAATGGTATCTATTGTCTGTTCAAATGTGTATTTAAATATCCATTACTAAACAAGAACAGTAAGAAGTTCTATCCACCATTCTTTTATACAAAATAATAATAATAATAATAATCATATACAGTGATTTATCTACAAAACACTTCATCAGTTTAATCTTACTAGGGGTTATCTATGATTGCCTCCTGTTGTAATTTTGCTTGTTTTTCTCAGTAGATCCATTTTTAGATGGCAATGTTACAATAATATGTAACATATTCTGAGGACAATAAATGTATTGCAGTATTTTAACAAAAAGTGCATTTCTATCATATAAATTATTCCCAGCCTAGTTTTAATACCAATAGAATTTGTTTTGTGAAAACTGTTGGTAGTTTCATCTGATGAGGCAATCACAAACATAAGAAGCATCTGAGTTTCCAGCATAACAATCTTTCTTCATATAGCCCTAAAATCTTTATAATTAGTAATTTACAAATACAATCTATATAACTGTCTTTAGTTCTGGGGCCTGAGAACGTTTGTTTTGTAAAACCATTAGTTTTGTACAGTAACACTAAATATTAAACCAGTTTACATATAAACACAACAGCATTACATATACCATGTTTGGTGCTCAATAAAATATGGAAATTAAGATGCAGGATTCTTATGATAAAATATTGAAGAAATAATCTTTCTCAAACTGAACTAATTTTCTTTAAAAAATCCTCATGGCTTGAATTGGGGTAATATTCTTCAATTGTGTTTGTTATTGTCTTTTTAATAGGAACTTCCCTACCACATCCATTACAACATTTCCAAGCAGTAATCCATCAATAGACACAGAACAGCAGAAAAAGGGAGAAACTAAAAAATTAGTTCTAATATATACTCAAGGTACTACCGCCCCGGAAATCATTTTATACTACTGTCTATTTAGTAAATAAATACATATATACATAAATAAATAAATAAATAGATAAATAAATAAATAAATGTACCTTGGTATTTAACATTAAATTAGCTGCAACAAAATATATTTTATTAAATTCTCAGTATTAATGCTATTTCCACTGCCTTATGACCTTGATTCAGAGTGCAGGATGAGCACAAAATTTATATTTGTGGCTACTGCGGAGAGAGCTCTGCTGTCAAATGACGAAGTAGTTCCATATAGATTGATTCATTCTTGCTGGACCTGCCTACCATTGCGATTATAAGAATGACAAAAAGATAAACAATAAATCTCTTTTAAATTCTTTTAGAGCAAGATAAACCTTGATAATCAATATATTAATACATATGAATATAAATTGAGATTTTTACCACAACATTTAGAAAAGCTCTGGAGCAAAGAATTGTACTGTCTAATTATTATTGCTGTGGGTATGATTCTATTATCATGACAATGTGGCTGTCTTTTAATCTTTCTTAAAAAGATTTATATATAGGCACAATACCTACTTTAATCTTAGTTTTAAGATTAAATTCACACAGTACTTCCTTAATGGAGAAAAACACACACATACAGACTTCCACTGTTAATATATCAGGGTTGTTTGTTCCAATTTCTAGCTAGAAATCCCACTTTTTAAGGAAGGAGCATGAATGAATGATGAATCAGTTGGGCAATGAAAGTACCTAAGCTTCTATGGTAAAACAGTGTATTTTTCAGACATTGTTACTTGTACTTGCTTCCAAAAGTTTTTTGAAATACCAGCACATGCAGTGCACGCTTGACTGCATAGGAGACCTATGAGTCAGGATAAAATACAATTTAGTCACTTCTTCCTAATACTCACATTGGCCCATTAAGGTACTTTCTGTTCTTGGTATTCATTTCATAACATTTTATAATAAAGACAGCTGCAGTCACACCACTATTGCTTTTGTTGAAGCACACAAACAGAATGTATCTATTCAAAGCTAAGCTGATAAAAGTCACATATAATTGCTCCCAAGCTATCTAAAAATTGGGAAAATTCTATGGAGATTCTCAATTATCCAGATCATGGCTGTCCCGAAGGTGCTTTTCATAAGGCAACTGGACTTTCTTGGGTTTCTTTTTTCCTTGAAAACCCCAAGAAAGTCCAGATACCTTTTGAAAAGCACCTTTAGGATAAAAATTAGGAAATTGAAAAGGAAATTAAACTGTTCTGTTTTAAAAATTATAAGTGTTTACTAGAATAATTTTGTTCTGAATCACATACAAAAAAGTTTTTCTTTCTTTCTTTTCTTTGTATCTGTCACAGTATAATCTGGTAAACATGAGTTTTTCAAAACCTATGGTTTCCACTGGTCTTAATGATATTAGCGAATCCTTAATTTTAGAGAACATTAAAATTGGCTTTGTAATGGATTATTTCATTAAAGACATTTCATTTTGTATTATTTGACCTATACAACTTTTCAAAATCTGTAGTGTGACTACAGCGTGTACCATAAATTATAAGGTCTGAAATGTATAAAAATAAATAACTGAAACTGGCTTTAGTGAATACAATGCATCTTAATAAAACCCTTCATAAAATGCTCTCATTTTGAATCAATAGCATTCACATCCTTATTAGAGCTTTGCTTCAGCTACTGAATCTGCTCACATATAATATCAGTTCACAATTGTTTTGTTCCCACGGCCATGCTAATATTCTGTACTGAATGGGATTCAATTAATAAGCAAATATCTAGCTGCTGAATTTTTAAAACTATGTCTGCAGCATTCAATTACTACACATCTAAATGGTCACATTATAAATCTTTTTTTTAATCAATTTCACATTTGGCACATTTATTCATTCTTCAGAAATGCCCCTGTATTTTGTTCAATACCATCACAAACAATGATCACAACACCAACTGTTTGACTGATTAGCAGCTTCACAAGGTGGTTTATCTCAAGCTTCTCCTTAATGGGTCACACCTTGCCTATGACAGAGGCACATTAGGTACAGTGCAGTAGGGTGTCATTTTTGGACTCTAGAGGAAAGCATTTTTCAAATGGATAGAACCTCTAGTTTGCAGTCCACATACCATGCATTTCCCTGGTAATTCCAATCCATCAGCTACTGAAGCCATTTCTGGAAAGCTTCACTGCCGACTGCTTCCTTTTATGCACAGCACTTTTGTAAAAAATTCAAAGTGTAGCAAGAAGATTCAAAGTGTAGCAAGAATCCTTGAAAATGAAATAATTATTGTCAGTACAGTCTGCCCAACTCCAAACACCAGTGCTTCCATGGGAGCCATGCTTTTCCCAGCCACTCTGTAAATTCCAGCTACTGCTGCACCTGAAAGGGACAAGACAACTATAATTAGAACCAAAGATTTTTATTCAAAAATCACCATAGTCAATATGTAATGTTCCCTTGCTCCATACACAATTTATTTTACCACTCTTATCACACTGGATAGCAAGTACAGTATAATTCTATAATTTACTAAAATGTAAATGGACACTCTTCTTAAGGATATTTAAGGAATGATCCAGCAAAAGTCAAACATTTCTTTCCCATTCATTTGGGAAGAGATCTAAATATGTGTTCAGCTTCCCCATTCAGTGAGACTTAAAAGTTCCCAACCCATGTAAGAAACTAATAATTAAAAGCCTACACAAGACCGGTAATCAAATAATATAAAGGTTTAATTTCTGATTGTTGACTGCTGATGAAACATCCTAAAATAGAACTCAATTTTGCAATGATACTGTTCTAAGAATTCTTTATTTATATACAGTCTAGACCAATTTCCTTTGAATTTTGATCCACTGTCTAATTGTTTCAAATGTTTAAACCTTATCAAGCATTCTGCCTAGAGAACAGGGGCAAAGTAAACCACCTGCTCCAACTGAATCCTATTCCACTTACAGCTTAGTTCAACAGGGCATGCACTGACCTCTACTCTCACCTTTTGCAATGAGTTGGAACTGTGAGAAGTATTTCAATTTAATCAGTTTCCTATTTCAACTGAGCAGAAAAAAAACTTTAAATCAAGGAAGAATCACAAAAGCAACTTTAGACTGTAGTTTAATATACTGGATTGGTTCAAAGCTGGTAACCAAACTATAGATAGTTCCTGATTTATGACATTTCATTTAATAATGACTCAAACTTACAACAGCCTCAGAAAAAAATGATTTATAACTGTCCTCAAAGTTGCAATTGATGCACACACACACACACACACCATGGTCATATGATCCAATTTGGGTACTTGGCAACTAGCTCACATTTACAACTAATTGCAGCCTCCTGCAGTCACATGATTGCAATCTGCAACCTTCCCAGTCAGTTTCTGACAAACAACATCAACCTGGGAAGCAGGATTTGCTTAACAATCGCACGACTTGCTTAACAACCATGTGATTCGCTTAATGATTGTTTTAAAAACGGTCAGAAAATCAGGTTCAGTCACATAATGACTTATTTAACTTAACAACTGCATTTCTAAGCAACCGAAACTCCAATCCCAACTGTAGTTGTAAATTGAGGACTAGCTGTATTCTACTTGAAATAAACTGATTTTCCCCCCACAGAAAAATGACTATTTTATTGATTTTTTTTCTTAAAGAAATAGGGTTCATTCTAATAGTTCTTGTTCAATTATCTGAAAAATAGTTTTCAGATAATTCCTTACAGAAAACTTCCATAAATTATTCCATAAATTATTCTATCATTAGCATAAAATTAATCTACCATCTTTCTCTACTCTACCTTACCTAACTCTTTCTATAAGATGTTTATGTTCTGATTTAAGCTTATTTTTTGATATGAAGATTTTAAAAATATAGGAAGTTTATTATATGTAAATAAAATCCTGTATGTACTGGGTTTTTTTTAAAGCAGATACCGCTTCCTATTTAAAACAACAGCTGGCAGTAGCATTAATCATAATATATGGGTCCTCATAAGGTAGTGTAGATCTGATAGTCTTTATATTAAAGCTACCGTGTGTGTGTGTACATAATTATTTAATTAAATCAAATGTGTTCATTTTTATCATTCTAATTTTTGTAAGAGAACCATACAAGTCAAGTATAAAAATAATAAGAACAAATCTTGGTTAATGAAATGACTCCTATAACAAACTAAATGCATCATTCTTTTGTACTGCAAAGACAGAACTGATTTCATATCAAATCTAATTGATGGCTTAATTTATTAAACCAAAATATCACAACTCCAAATCAGTAAAGACAAAAATCCTGAAAGCAGAAAGACTGCACATTAATAGCTTGCTTAAAGTTATGTTATAAAGTATTTTTTACATTTCTGTGGATATCTCAAAGAATGTATCAAAATCTGTGCATAGGGGAAAACCCAATACTAAATAAATCATAACTATATCATAATGAAAGAATTCTATCATCTACAGTTAATAAAGCCAATATCTATACAGCAAGTTATACTGTACAAAATGGTTACAAAGGCATTCCATAGATTGTTGCTCCTAACAACTTTATGAAAATTTCTATAGGGAATATAAATCTACCACACAGGTACAGACACACACAAAATCATACATTCTCATATATGGGTCCAAGCATTGCTTTCCCCAAAAAATGATTGTAAAAAACTCATGAGATCCCAATTGTTTTATGAGGGATGACTGAGCATCTCCTGTAATCACTAAGCACTAGGTTGACAACTCCAAACAATGCTCCTTTTCATATGCCATTAGTATATCTTTTAGGAATCTGGAAGTCATGGAAAGAAGCTAATGATGCAGCAAGTGTCTAACTTGACCCAGGAGAGAACCACAGTAAAGTACCTTCCACATTCATTAAGCAATTGTGCTTTTTTGGTTTTTTGGGTCAGAGTGACACATATATATTTCTGACATTTATATATAAAAAACAATTTGTTGAATTGAAATAAGATAAACTTAATTTGCTATGATAAGCAAAATAGTGCACCTATTCTATAAAAGGGTCAGATAACATTTTTTCTTTTGAGAAGCTATTCTTATTAGTTATAACTATTTCAGTAGCTATCTCCTAAAGTACTTTAGATTGTAGCAAAATCTTGAAGAGAATGTAAGTGCAACAGATTGTCTTAATTGCAAAAGTGCAAAATTGTCTTAAGAATACACAGACAATATCTTTATTGGGCAAAGTCTCATTGTCAAGTTATTAAATGGTTCTTTAGAACCTTCATTATCTTTAATACAATAAGAAACATGCATTAATATATAAAAATGCCAGATTTTAGTTGCTATTTACTAAGCTTCACTGCAATATTGCATTAACGTGGACCAGCAATTCATGCAAATTTGTTCTGCTGGCAACTTAAAACTTACTATACAATGTGAAGGTTATGCTATTATTATTTATCCAGAATTCCAGTATATCACAGATGATCTTTCAGTGCTTTACAAAGCATTGTCATAATTTCCCATCCTTTATTGCCATAGTTGCACTAGACATCTTTTATAAGGGAAGGTTAAAAAAATAGCTATTGCTATTTTCACCAAAGCTAGAATGGCAATAAGAAGGTAATATAGAACCCCTTTTTTAAAGATCCAGATTTTTATTATCAGTTTGACTCGTGGAAATGGGCACACCTACTTTAGATTTCAAAATGCAGAGTTTTTAAAACCATACTAGGATAAAAGGACAGGTTAAGGAATAGACCTGGCACACAAATGATCCAAGTATATTATCAGAAATTCACAAAATATGTATATAAAGCCATTATGTAACTTGAGAATAAGAACTGTGGTTATCTCTGCAGTCATTTATCAGATAATGGCACTGGAAGAGAATTATGCCTAGGATATTATTATAATAATATAATAGCTACAATCTCTTACGTGATTTTTTTTCTTTCAGAGAATAAATAGCAAGCCAATATAAAATTCCAAAAATATGAACAGAAGCAATACATGAACATTTATTACAATTGCTAGTAATAATCTTCAAAAAGAACCACAACTATATTTGAACATGTAAGACTTACTGGTTATCATAGCTCCAGTTACAGAACCCAGAAATCCAATGCTGACCACAATGACAGAGATTACTCTCCCTTGCCTATGCCTTTGCAGCATGACAAACATTAACACTCCTGCAGCACCGTGGACAAAGAGAGAAGAGAAGAGAGCCCATAGGAAAACCCAGTACCACATTTCTGGAAAAAAGTAATCAAACAGCAGGTTAATATTTCTTATTTCTTTCTGATTACAACAAATATATATATACTAAAGTATTTGAAAATTGAGAGAGATATAAATGCATGCACAAAAGTAACTCACTTACAAGTTAATTTTATTATCTTGTCCACTATCCATTTTTAAAAATATTATGTACACCTCAATGTTTTTATTTTTTCCCCCTTTTCCTACAAACTACCTAGTGGACAATTTTTGTCAGTGGGGAATATGCAAATTATATAAAAAAGTAAATATTATGTCATGGAAATAACATAATCACATAATAGTACCAGTTCATTTTATTATTCTGCCACTACCCATTTTCAATAGGACTGTGCATACATCTGTATTAGATTTTGTTTCGTTTCCTTTTCTGTAAGCTACCAAGAAGACTTTTTTTGTTAACAGGTTGCAAAACAATTATATGAAAAATTAAATATTAAAACAAACTTCAGTTATGCTAATGTGTCTATGATATCTATGTTTGTATGTATGTGGGTACATATTGTATATATGTGTGTGTGTGCATATAAATATCTCTCATACAAAGTCACACACTCTATTTATAAAATACTCTGAGAGCTAAAATAAGAACGTAATTTAAGGGAACCAAAATACAGAATACTAACTGTTCAAAGTATTGAAGGTATTTGCTTAGCTTAAATGGGCAATATGCAAAATGATGGGTTTCCCCCTAATGAAGCTAATATTATTTCAGTTATCAATACATTGCTTCTGGATGCTTATAGACTGAGGTTTCTTATTATTTGAGGACTGAATGTCTGCTACATAGGACTGAGATATGTAAAATAACAGAATATTAATTTTTTGAATTGCTCAATGCTTTATGTTATATTAAAATTCTGTTTATTTAGAGATGTTAAATACTCAAATAAATAAAACAAATCTTTATATTTATGGAATTAACTTGGTATGCAGATGTAGGACTATTCAAAAATATAATATTTAAAACCATAGAATTTCACTACACGTACTAGTTATAGTGCTTAAATAAAATATACTTCTATCATACAAACATTCATTTCCAAAAACTGTTGTTTTACAGTGCAATACCACAGTATGCTTTACTGTTTTTAATTTTCATCACTAATTTGAAAATATTCCTTCATTTAAAGAGACATATATTGAATCATATAAAATCTATGCAACTAAACCAGAATCCAATAACAATATAAGTTCTCAATTTACAATAGTTTGACCATTCAAAGTTTGATGGACATTACAAAAGCTATTTATAATCCATCATCAAAATTGAAATTGCCCCCCCCCCATGTGATCCTATTTTGGGCTCTTGGTAACTAGCTTGCATTTCTGAGCAGTTGCAGCATTCCAAGGTCACTTGGCACAATTTGTGACATTTTCCCGTTTTCTGGTGGGAAATGGAACAAAGATGTCTATTGGATATGCTAACTTTATTTAATGACTATGTGATTCACTTAATAAGTGATTTGTTTAATGTCTGTGTTGACTCATTTTATGACCATCATACAAACAACTTTGGTCACTTGGTGCCACTGTACAAATGAGCCTGGATACCATGCCATCTTTGATATTGTATGGGATTGCACTCCCTGAGACAGACCCAGTGAACAATCTGGGGATCCTCTTAAGAGACTGCTCCATGAGCTGCATTTGTTGCCAATCTGTTTCCAAGTCTAATTCAAGGTGCTTTTAAAATCTTTTTTAAAGTGCTTCATGGCATGGCACCATGCTATCTGAGGGTCTGTCCCTCCCTGGTTGTATCAGTCTACCCCATTACATTTTGCAGAGAATGTAATACCGGTATCATAGGCTAGGGATCTACATCTGGTGAATCCCAGGAAGCGTGCCTTCACTGTGTAGTGCCTACCTTATGGAACATCCTTTCACTGAAATTAGTTTGGCCCCATCCCTCTTGATTTTTCATAAGGCCCTCAAGATCTGGTTACGGTATTAAACTCATTTATATAACCACTTATCTCACAACAGTAAATGGGTGGTTTACAGGGGAGCTAAAACAGTTAATAAATACATTAAAAAGTATAAAAACCAAAATAAAATAAAGAATAATAGACGAAGGTATGTTAAAAGTAACAGAGCCACTTCACAGTTCACCTGTTACCATAACCAGTTCTTGAGGGACTTCTAGAACAGGGGTGTCAAACTCAGTTTCATTGAGGGCTGCATCAGGATTGTTTGGCCTCGGGAGGCCTGGGTGGGTGTGGCCAGGTTGATATCACTTGTGTCAGGCGCCTGTGGCGCCCCGAGCTTCGTTTTTGGCTGCGACAGCCTCCTGCAACCCTTTGCCAGCGAAAACAGAGCTCCGTTTTCCCTGGGAGAGGCACCACTGGTCCAGGCTGGTCCTTTGCTGTTTCCAGGGCGGTCCCGTGGGCTAGATCTAAACACCCTGCAGGCCAGATCTGGCCCCGGGCCTTGAGTTTGACACCCCTATTCTAGAAGCTCAACAATAATAAAAACAATCTCATTTCAGCAGAGAGAAGATTCCACAGCATAAAAGGCCACTGCTTAAGACCTATTAAGTATTGATCTCTAGGCAACAGAATCTGTAACATGCCTCCCACTGCTGGATCCAGTAGGATAAGCAAATGAAAGAGGGAAGAGTAATGGCCCCTGTGGCACTCCACATAGTAGAAGCTGAAATCTCTTTTCCCCAATCATCACTAACTGGAACTGACCAGTAGAAAGGAGGTGAACCAGCACAAGATCATGCCAATACTACCCACCCCAATCCTCCGAGTCAGTCCAGAAGGTTATCATAGTTGACGGCATTGAAAACCACCAAGATGTCAACTAATGCAAGGATGACACACCGTAACTATCCTGCCCACATCAGAGACCATCCAAAAGTGTGACCATCGCCATTTCCATACCATATTCAAATATAAATCTGACTGAAAAGGATTCAGATAATCTGTTTCATTCAAATTCCTCTGAAGCTGCTACACAACCACATTTTTTCCCTAAAAAGGAGAAGCTGGATACTGGCTCATCAGGATGAAGGACTTTCTGTTCAACCAGGAATTAAAATTAATTAATGCAGCATGTGGCTTGGAGTTTTGTTCCACCGTATTTCATGTTATTTATTTTATACTATTCTATTTTTAATCAAATTATTTTTGTTGATCATAAGTCAGAGAATTTATGAGACAGCATACTAATACCTAAATAGAATAAAATGCTATATTAGTGGGCATTATTTATTTTGGAAAGTATTAGAACTAAATATTAAGTTTAGCAAATGGATTTATTTTCGTATAATGCAAACTAGCAGACTTTTAAATCTCAGTCATGCAGTAAATCAGAAGTTTTCATTAATAGTCAGTATTGATATCCTTCAGGTTCCATGTGTCTAATGGCATTTCCGTTCGTTAGCTGTAACCCATCTTCTATTCTTATCTTCATTAAGTGCCAAACTAGCACATCTCTTCAGGCTAAATTTTACTCCTGTATTTCACTCTATGCATCTGATAAAGTGAGCTGCAGCTTACAAAAGCTTGTCTTTTAATAAAATTTATTAGTCAGAAAAGTTGCTACCAATCTCCTCCTGATTTTTGGCTACCATACAGTAACATAGCTTTCTTCCTACAATGTCTAGGACTGTGATGGCGAACCTATGGCACGTATGCCACAGGTGGCACACGTAGCCATATCAGTGGGCAAACGAGCTCAGCTCTGGCGCACATGTGTGTGCCGGCCAGCCGATTTTCAGGCCTTCTGGGCCCACCAGAAATAGGGAAACAGGTTGTGCCCCTCCTGGCACGCAATGGCAAAAAGGTTAGCCATCATATGGTCTAGGAGCAATGATTTTAATGCTTTTTAGAAAATCTATACAAGTTTCTCTCTCTTTTTTTGGCAACTGAAGGATCATTTTATCAATTGGTAGCTGGTATTTTGTGCTACGTGTATTTTTGAAACCTCTTTTGTTCTATTGTTTATTTCAAATAAACTTGTGTAGATTTTTCATAATCCTATTTAACAATTTCAGTGTTGTGAGCCAGCCATTTATAGGCCTAGAGCAGGCCTGTCAAACTGGCAGCCCACAGGCTGGATGCGTCACACGCAGACCACACCCACCCCAACTCCACAAAGGCAAAAAACCATTACAATATGTCACATGACGCAATCAAGTTTGACACCTGTGGCCTAGAGTTATCTTTTGCTTTCCCCTTGCCTTTTGGTACTAGAAATGTTTTTTCATTCTTCATTTTATTGTTGTTTGCAGAAGATTATTCAGTTATGTTGCTAGCTTGGAGTGTAGGCTTGTCAAGATTAGAGCCAAAAACCATGCAGTTAATCTTTTGGGAGGGTACTTCTATATATTTCTGAGTTGCATCTGAATCATTTTTATTGTTCTCACCACATCTTCCTTTTGTTTTTCATCAAATTCTTTCCAAAATGTTGTGCTTTTCATTGCACTCTCAATCATTTTCCAATATTCACCAATTGCTTTATCAGAATTTGTTATAAACAGTGTTTTGTTTAAACCAATTTATTATTATTGCTTATTGGGGAATATCCAGAGAAATGGAGTAGCAGAGATTGTTTAGAAATAAAAAAAACCTTCAGTGTGCAATTTATTACGGTCTTGTACCTATTCTGTAACAGGTGAGCCAGCAATAGAAGTCTAATCAACTAATTTAGGTCAAAGAGCTGAGATTGTTAACTTGTGGTTAGCAGTTTTTAGAACCAGATTAAAGCAGCATAGGAAGAGGTAGGTTGTTTAGGCAATTTCTCTAATTGGGGAAAGAAAAAAAAAGGGTCAAGCACAGGACAATGCCTACTGACTATAATGGTGAACATATTGTTGAGGGTAAAACTTCCCTCTGCATAGTACGCAACAGATCGGACAGCAAAGAGATACGTTGCTGGTTAAACACACAGATACTCACAGACTCTGAACGGTGAAAAAGAAAAACATTTTTTATTCTTAGTGAAAAAAACAAACTTCAGTGTAATT